ACGTGAGCAACAAATTGACTGCTCTTTCATTTCTGGAACGCATGAAATACGTATGCCAGCAAAAGAAAACTTGACTAAAATCACTAGCGTAAAGGATTGCTATTTTACGCGCCTCATGACCGAAAGATCACTGAAAAAATAATAAATACCCGAATACAAGCCGAGGTTATATATAGGGCCTCTGCCGAATTAATAAAGAAAAAGGGAGAAATGCAGGTAGGTTGAGCTATGTTGAGTATTTAGTGAAACAAATACTAATTAGGGTCTTGGATCAAATACAGTAGTATTTTTATTGCTTGTCCGATGACGGAAGTAATGAAAGAAAATGAAATTTTTCGACAGGTGCATTAGAGATCCGTTCATTAATAGTAATTAAAATTTCAGCACAAAACAAATGTCAAATCATCAAGGCAAATCAAATAATTACAAGCAAATAGAATGATTTCGGAAAAAAAATCAAATACAATGAACGCTGTAGGATAAAGCATGGAATCTAGCAGCACATCCTTTGTTCCCATTTTCGTAATATACGTGTAACAAAATTTTGAAAAAACTGCTCTTTGCTCCATAATGATGGAATATAATACATCGAATATCCACAGGAACGTCCTAAAAAAGTTCCTAAAAGATTTAAAACCATTTCTATTAAGGCGAATATCAAATCGCAAACAACTAAATTATCCATCACTTAGAATGCTACCCCATCTGGCAAAGCTAAACCGATGTTTATATTGTGTTCTTGAGTAATCTGGGGAGTAGCATGGACGATTATTGTGAAAATTGCTAACTCTATATCGAGTAATCTGAACTTCGGCTGTAAATAAAATGCATATTTTCTGAAACCATTCACAAAATTGCAATATGAACGAAAACTTCTGCAACCGTTTCCGCAAGGTTCTCCAAATATTGTTTTCTAGATTTCGAAATAGAATTGCGATTCGCCTTGTATTTGTCTTCTATTTTAGAAATTGTATGACTAACAATTCGGTTGATCGCTGTAGTGTCATCCTTACTTTGTTTTGTTTTCCCTCAAAATTGCATGTATATCAAGATGCAAGAATTGAAATAGTGATTTTTTACTTAATTATGTGGCTTAACTAACTGCTGAAAGCAGCAGTGCCGCAGTTTTGTGTATCTACACTTATTGTCGTCAAGTCAAAAAATTGATATTAACAACAATATGTAGACTGTCTAAGGTACCGAACAACAGTGGCTTGTCGACGTTTGCTATTAGAAAAAGTTGTTA